ACGCGTCTCGTGTCTAACAAGCGGCCCACCCGGCGCCCCGCGTCAACCGCAATACGGCGACCCTCAAACGGTGGCTTGGGATTTTCCAGGCGAGCAGCGTCTTCCCGAATGAAAACAGGGATTGCCGTCGATAACAAAGTTGTAATTTATTGGAAATTAAGTGCGTCGGACCCATAAATATTCCGTTAACGGAATGGGTGCTAAATAGAACACCTTTACAGCACTACAAAAAAATTAAAGTGTATTCTGTAAATTTTTGATTTAATATATTGATATATACTACTTTATTTTGGAGATTTTTGGATTGAAATGGATAAATACGTTTAGTAAGAAAATTCACAGAAATAAAGTAAATATTCTTTACAGTCCGTACGATATTTTTTGAGATAGAAATCCAAGAAAAGAATAAGCCAATGAGATTCTGTTATCGAAACTACCTTAACAATTTACCACGACAGGGGCGTTCCTTGAAATTTTTTCTCATTATTTTCAGAATATTAAAATATACATATACCAGGTGATTCAGTTTGGTATTCGTGGCAATATATCTCTTTAATTTTAACAAATAGCTATAACAAACACTATATATTTTTAAATCGCCGCTCAAACTCTATCAAATGACATTATTAGATCGTCTCCATGGTAACATATGTCAAAATTGTTATAGTCAACTGTGTTTGTTCAAATGGCACACTATATATTTTTTATCAATTCTGGAATATATGTTTTTCTGCGTTCAACTATGTACCTAAGGAAGTCTATAGTTTCATTAGAAATATTGCTAGGAAAACAGCAAAAAAATGCACTATACTTTTCGTAGCTTTATTCTGAAAAATGATAGCCAGCTATGGAAACAAGCTAGGTACTATATTTTTGAAAGTAACATATATTTTTTTTTTAATACGATAATAATATAACAATTTAAAACAATACTTATTTCAAATGTTCAAAATGACCTCCATTTGCTTCCAAACACACAATAGCTCTGTTTATCACTCCCTCTCTACAAACACATTCTAGTGTTTCTTCATTTAATCTCCGACATTCTACTCTTATTCTGTTTTTCAGGTCGTCAATATCATTTAAAGGCGAAGATTAAACTTTTTCTTTTAGGTAAGGCCAAAGAAATAAATCTATAGGAATGAGATCCAGAGATCTATAGCAGGCCAATTAACATCTTTAACGAATGTTCTTCATATCTTACCCTTCTGAGTTTAAAAACTCTTATTTTCTTTTGAAAATCATCTGCCGCCAACTGCCTAGCTAACTTTCCGAAAAATTGATCTGATGGAAGTTGTCTCTGCGGAAAACGATGTTGGTATAAATGCCTGTGGCAGCTTTAGCGTTCTTTCAGCACTCTCTATAAATTAAAATCATATCTAGTTTTTCTTGGTTACTGTAAGTATTCATGTTACCTATAATTAGTTATAGGTGGGTAGGTAGGTACAAAATGTCAATTATTTTGACAAACCGTTATTTTGAAACGTCAAAATTCAGTTGTTTCCGTAGCTGGCTATCATTTTTTAGAGTAAGCTACTAAAAGTAGGGTTCATCTTTATTGCTGTTTTTCTAGCAATATTTCTAATGAAACTAATATAAGTAGTGTTGTTACATTTCTAGGAATATTAATATTGACTGTCGGAAAATAAAACGACAATACTGGATACTTTTTAGCTGTTTTTACAATCATAAATATGCATCTTTTAAGAGCATTTGGAGCACATGGTCAACTATATTTCAAACAATAAATTATTATTCAATGGTCTTTTGACTGTTTTTTAATTACTGCAAATTAACATTCTGGCCTGGTTGCAGATCTATCAGTATATATTATATTATTTAATTTGTAATATTCAATAGGTTTTGTAGTATTCAACAGCCATAAATTTTGTTGCAATTTTCTATCATCATGATGTATCAAAATTTGTCCTGCTAAAACATATACGTATGAAATCTAGTTATAATAGAAAATAAATCTTGCTTAATCTCAGTTCCTGCAAACTGTAAATAAAGTATTGAACAACCTAAATGTATTAATCTCCAATTTTTCATGTTTGTGCATCATGATACCGGCAAGCGGAATATTGATTTGTGTTCATCCCAGTTGTGTACCTATTAGTTGTATTTTGCCAAGCTAAGTAAATTGCTCTCTAAAACATTTTAAATGTGATATATTTAGATGTTGTTACTTTAATTAATTTTCCTCTGTGCAAATATTTCAACTTCTATAGATTGTTTTGTCTTGTCTTATTTCTAATTTTCTTCCATTTCTTTAGTATGATATAAAATAAATAATTTCAAGTTATTTTTATAGCGTTTTGAATTTTAACGCATTATTTATAGGTCGTGTCAAGTCCAGTTCAATTTAGTGAAGCCCTATCAAATTTTTTTAATTGATCGTGCCGATATTAACTAACTTACATATTTGTTTCAGTTACAAATAACAGTAACTATTCCCTAGTTAAAGAAAAACGTATTTTTCAAAAGTTCGAGTTTTTAGAAGCATTAAAAAAGTACCTCTGTTTCAGGAAAAAAGGTTACAAATTTTATTTAAAAAACTGAGCAACTTAAAGTATTTTTTTACTATCTATGTATTACAAACATTGGAATATTTTATATTTTGGTTGTACATCGACAGAAATAGTGAAATAAATATATTTGTGTACATTATTTTACTGCTATATTTCTAAATAAATAACATCTTTTCAAATATTGTGTTGAAAACTGTTTAATATTATTGAGCAAATAATGAAACCGGTACTATTTTGATAACAATGAAACAACTATAAAATAATAAATACCTATACTATCAGGTGAAGCATCTAAAATATTTCAGTAGGTTTTCGGTAGTTTGTCAAATAATTTGCTTGATAAAAGCATTAAATTATGAAAATAATGAATGTGACATAATTTTTTAAGTAGGTAGAATATTTCAATACTGATTTATGTTTTATTTTAATTTTCCAAAGGGATTAATAAGGATCTAATTGCTAAAGCAGGTATTCATTGCATTTAATATCTGATGCAGACCCTGATTTGCCTATTTCATAGTATCTTTGGTTTTTTTTATTGCAGTGAAGTTTATTCAGGTAGGCACATAGATATAAGTTACTGACTGTATAAGAACTAAAAATTCTACAATTTGTTTATGAAAACAAAATACTACAGAATTTTCTATATAGGCGTATATGAAAGTCTACCTTTATTTTTTTTTAATTGTTGGTATTACAAAACACACACACACAAGATAGTGGTTTTGGGAGAAATTAATCAGACAAATTTGTGGATGGTAGAATTTAACTTTATCTTTATACCTAACTTTAATTTTGAATATTAGATATCTATGTTAGTGATGATAAAACATGTAAATTATTATAATGATGGTAAAGATGTATCTACATTTACACTAAATATCTACCAAACAAAAACAGTAATTATGTATATTTATCGAGTAAAATATTGCAGATTATTAAATATATAACATATTTAAATCGAATAAGATATACGATGTGTACTGTTTAGCGTATTTAGAAACTACAACTTCTCAAAAAACACATAGGTATTAAGCTAAATCACATATTACACACCTGAAACTGTCTAAAACCGTCTAGGAACAAATTTTATTATTTTCATATACCTACCTAATATAAAATATACCTACCCATTATAAAAATACATCTAATATCTCTAAATTAATCTATCATAGATTAAAATTCAACATCATTAGGAAAATACGTCTTTCTAAATCATTACAAGATTATAATTGTAAAAAATAACAATAATATCTCAGGACTTAAGTGTTGTTAATAAAATATATACCTAATGGATCGTACTATATTATGTGAATATACTACATATTTATGCAATTACTTAAACCATTTATTTGGAAGAACTCCATCTAACTATGCTTTTCCGGTGGACATATGTTTTATGTTATGTTTTATTTACATCAGTGTCTTATTTGACAATTCTCAAAATTGAAAATTCTAAACTTGTCACCATTTTTTAAATTTTTTATATTCCAGTTTCGATAAACTCCAAAATGCCCTTAAATCAGATCTATTATTCATATTTAAATCTCATACAAATTTGAAAATGTAACAGTTATTCCTTTTGTATCTAAAAAAATGCATAGGTATTATTATCGGAGTATTTACATTGTAATTATTTATTTTACAGAAATAGCTTTACATTACTTTTATTGATAAGTAGTTACTTGAGGTAGTTCTAATTTCAGTTTGTTTAATTTTTTATGTGCGCAAAATACCGAAACAGAAAAAATACCTTAAACTATACCACATATAAATAATTCCAGGCAATATTAGGATTAAAAAACAATTATTTTCTTAAATATATTAACTTGATTAAGTTATCTAGAAATCTAAATCGTTGGATAATACCGATTGTAAAAAATATATATATTTTTAATTATGGCGAATGCGCAAATGTTACAAGATATCGTCATGAGGGATAAGAAAGGAAATAATATATTCTTAAAATATAGTTTAACGTTCGAATTTTGCAATATTTTTCTACAATTTGAAAAAATATATATTATCTTTAAATGTGTATAGATGTATAAACCAAAATTGTGTAATTATAAATAATAACAAAGAAAATAATTTTTGCAGTTTTATAAACAATTTTCAAAAAATTGCAAAAAAGTTATACATTCAATTGGGTTGAGTGTGCAATAATTAGAGGCACAATATGTAAAGAGTTTTAATAGAATTTCGTCCTTAAAAACCTCGGAAAAATTAAAAATACCGTCGAAAACCGCCTTGGCAACGGAAAAGCCCCACATTTTGACGACCACCGATCGGATCCGTTGGTGTGATGTGGCGGTGTCGGCACGCGACTAAAGCAGCTCCGGTCCCCCGCACTGATCCCAGCTACCGCACGCGCCACCCCCCCGACTGCCGCCGCCTGCCGTAGTTGCCGCTCACAGCTCACGAACTTGCCCACTGTGCTTCATTACTCGCTCGGTGACGTTACGGCGCGGCCACGACGCTCTCTCCTCTCTCGCCTGGCTCGCGTCTGATATCGCGACATCGATGAGTCAATAGTTATGACCGCAAAAAACAAGAGAGCATCGGAACCACGAAGAGCCAACAAACCCCTCATGGAGAAAAGACGACGCGCCCGCATCAACCAGAGCCTGGCCGCTCTGAAGACGCTCATTTTGGATTCGGCGAAGGCTGATAACACGAAGCATTCGAAATTGGAAAAAGCCGACATTCTGGAGCTCACCGTGCGCCACTTCCAAAGACATCGAAGCTTGGACATCAAGGGAGTCAATCACTACAAGGCCGGGTACGCAGACTGCGTTCGGGAGGTGCAGAGGTATCTTGAAACCCCTGACGCCCAAACTATGACGGTGATCGACTCCGGGGTGCGTCAAAGACTTCTGAGGCATTTGGACAACTGCGTTGCTGAGGTAGATGTGGACATAAGACAAGCCAACATCGTTCCACCCCCGGAAGAAAGACTGCAACCTCCAGATTCCAGCATGGAGGAAGTCAACAACAACTTGAATACCACTCGTCTAGCAGAACCCAAACCTGAAGATCCTTCACCCAGCAAGCAAGGCAAAAACTACGACGGTAACTTCGTGCTGCTCTTACCTGAACATTATGTGCAACTGGCTAATGCACTTGGTGTCAATCTTCGATCCCAGAACGATCCAGTCTCGAGCGCAGGTACTTCTAGTTGCGACAACAAAGGCGTTCCAGTCAACGAGGAAATTCGTAAGTCCAAAGCTGTGGAAAGGCCTCTCGACTTTAGCAAGAATAACGAAAACAGCGATATGTGGAGACCATGGTAACTCCTCTGCTTTAGTTGTGATGTGATCTCTGTGCAATAGTACCTATCTCTGACTGATGTGCTTACTGAGGCAACCCATAGCTACGCTACAAATAACATGTTACCTGTAGTAAACTATTTGATGTGATTGATGCTATATTTAAATTCTGTTTGAAAGTTTTCATCCCGGGAGGCTGTGGTCCTATTTTTGTATGGAACTGTTTCGCGTTTTGCTGTACCGGGTGTGAAATATTTTCAAAGCTCCTGTAAATATGTACTATAAACAAAACTTAATGTAAATATAAATCTGTTATAAGTACTGTCCTTTACTGTTATATGTTAATGTTTATTTGTATGCAAAAATTTTAATATTACGAAATAAACTGCAAATATTTATTCTCTGTAGTTTCTTCTTACATTTGTCTATATCCAAAGAAGGTTAAAATAATTTCATTTTGATTATATAAAACTGAAAAATCTGGATGTTAGAAATAGCACATTTATACATTTAAAAAAATATATTTTCTTATGTGACACAGTTAAAAACGTTAATTATAAGTTACAAAAAAATTAGATATGTTAAAAATTATTTAGTAGGTAATAATATTTCAATAAATTGATCTAATTATTAACAACAAATAGAGAATTTCAATAAAAAATAGGGATATTATTTACATTTATTTATTTGTGACATTTTTTATTTTGGAATTTTTTATGTACTAATAAAATAAAAAGAAATATATAATTCTTTAAATTTTGTTTGTTGAATATTCTGACGAGGTAAGTAACAACCTATTGATATCTTACATCTATGGTGCGAGAAGTTTATAGTTAGTAAAAACTAAATTTATACAGGGTGTATCCCAAGTCTATGTCATAAATTAAGGGGGTGATTCCTTGGGTCATTTTAGGCCCAAAAGCCTTAATATATCAGGGCTTAAAAGTTACTCATGTTTTCAATTATCTCTGAAGCTGTTTGACGTAGATTGACGAAATTGGAAATGATGTAATTAATTAAAGGTAAGAATTCGGTATATTTCTATATAATTCTGTCAACGAGTGGCGGAGATTCAAGGGAGCTGTGTTATTAAAACCCTCAGAAAAACTGTACCACTGGATTTTTCAGAAAAATTAATAGACGCGTTTAATTTACTGTCATATTTTTAATAAAAAAAGGTCTCTTGTAGTTTCTTCACACAATAAACCATTTTCGAGTGAAATTTTTTTTTCATATTTAATTTTAAAATAAAAAAAAATAATTTCTAATAGGTATTTCATGCGCCTATTAATTTTTCTGAAAATCCAGTGGCGTAGTTTTTCTGATGGTTTTAATAACAAGGCTCCCCTGAATCACCCCCACTGGTTGACAGATTTATATAGAAATATAACGAATTACTACCTTTAATTACATCATTTCCCCAGGTTTCGTCAATCTACGTCAAACAATTTGAGAGATAATTGAAAAAATATGATATTTCTCAAAAACTTTAACGTCCCCTATCTTGGAAACCAGTAACTTTAAGGCCCTGGTTTATTAAGGCTCTTGGACATAAAATGACCCAAGGAATCACCCCCTTAATTTATGACATACACTTAGGATATACCCTGTATAATCAACCCCTTGACTAGTCCTTTTGAAGCAAGGGGTTATTTATTTATTTAAAATTTACTTTTCGTTGTGGCTGAAATTGCCAATTAANCATTTTCGAGTGAAATTTTTTTTTCATATTTAATTTTAAAATAAAAAAAAATAATAAAATAATTTATAATAGGTATTTCATGGTTTAAAAAAAAATTAAACACCAGTAGAAAATGAAGCAGATTTAAGAGAACGAATCATAAATGGATGCCAGCAAGTCGGACAAATGCCAGCAAAATGAAAATGTCCACCGTGCGTTGTCTTAAATCCGCCTCATTTTCTACTGGTGTTTAATTTTTTTTAAACCATGGAATACCTATTAGAAATTATTTTAAAATTAAATATGAACAAAAAAAATTAGAATATGATTTATTGTGAGAAGAAAATGCAAGAGACCTTTTTTATTAAAAGATATGACAGTAAATTAAATGCGCCTATTAATTTTTCTGAAAATCCAGTGGCGTAGTTTTTCTGATGGTTTTAATAACAAGGCTCCCCTGAATCTCCGCCACTGGTTGACAGATTTATATAGAAACATAACCAATTACTACCTTTAATTAGTTACATCATTTCCCCAAGTTTCGTCAATCTACGTCAAACAACTTCAGAGATAATTGAAACAATGTCATATTTTTCAAAAACTTTAACGTCCTCTATCTTGGAAACCAATAACTTTAGGTCCCTGGTTTATTAAGGCTCTTGGACATAAAATGACCCAAGGAATCACCCCCTTAATTTATGACATACACATAGGATATACCCTGTATAATCAACCCCTTGACTAGTCCTTTTGAAGCACGGGGTTATTTATTTATTTAAAATTTACTTTTCGTTGTGGCTGAAATTGCCAATTAATAAATAAGTTTGGACTTTTCGGAAAATTATTTTATAAAAATTATTTAAAATATGAACTTTTATCAATTTTATTGCAGCATCCAAATGAAAGAGTGATAAAATCTGCCTGAAAAACGTTAAAACATTATTTTTTCTAAAGTTTTCTTATTCTGAAACAAATAAAGTTGTTAATGGTACAATTGTACTTATATAAAAAAAAAAGAAAGAAAAAACTGTTGACAGGATATTTGCTTATATTTTTTTAATACGATAGTTAACAAAGCATCTAATTATTTTATTCTTAACATGCTCGAAAAAATTGAGAAAGGGGAGACATTTGTGGGATTATTAAGAATTAACAGTCAAATATGCAGAAAACAATCAAAACCCATTTATATTAGTTTACGTAAGTCTACCCTATAGAAACAGTTTACCGAGGCATTATTTTGTTTCGCATAAACAATATTAACTATGTAAAATGTTTCAATTTCTCTTCATCATTCAGGAGCAGAAGCCTTTCAAATTATTTTTCTCAGATTAGGTTCATAGGATTAGTGTGATATTTCCACATGATAAAAGATACATATTTGAATAAGCATTTATAAACCTGTTTTTAAATGTTTTACTATTACTCAAAAAAGACTGAAAACATAGACATATAGATACGAAAAATGTGCTATTTAAATAGCAATTAAATTGAAGAAAAATATTAATTTAACACATTTAATTATGTGATTAATATTAGTAATGAAATTTTACAGAAAAATTACTTCAATAAATATGTGGATGAACACACAAATAATTTTATTGTTCATTTTAACAGCCTTATTAATAACTATTATAACTATATATATACATTCCTGGACATCTATATTTAACAATTTGATTTTATGTAATAAGTATAAGCGTATATTATATTAATGCGAATCTTAACCATAAAATTATATTAAAAATATTTCATATCTTTCAGTTATTAAAGACATTAACATTCTTTATCATGTTTTATGGTAGGTACATACATATTAGGATAAATAAATGCAAATATAATGCAATATGATAAGATAATGGACATCTGATAAAAAAAATGGAATCTGCTTTATTAGAATTTTGTAAGGGTAGCATTATTTTGTTCTAATCGATAACGAAGTCGGATTCGACTGAATATTTTTTTATACGAGATATAATAAAAATTTTTGGCCAAAATTTTGCGAATGACGAAATTTATGCTCGGATACGTATCATTTTCGGAGTTGTTGGTTAAAAAATGAGTGTGTTTTTAATTTAAAAAAAACTGCTAAAGTCATCTCATTCGAATTAGGTATGGAGCTTTAGTTTTACATTGTCCACAAACGTATGTATGTATGTACAGTTTTTTTTACGTACGGGGTTGTAGTTTTGGAGGTAGGCTTAATAATTTTTGTATGGAAATTTTTCTTTCCAAGATATTTCAAAGTGGACTTATTGTTATAATGGAAGAAAGATGCTTTTAAAACTTAAGTACTTCAATACTTTTCAACTACTGTAAATAATATTTATATCATTTTAGTTACGAACCACAATTTGTCAATTATTATTAATTTGAGGTGTACACGTATAACTGAAGTTAATACTGAATTCTATACATCGCAAATTAACAAAAGGAGAGGTTTACTTTAATTCGAATTAATAAATTAATTAATAAATAATTTTATTGCAAGAAAAGGCGAAGACATTTAAAAACCAATTTATATAGATCTTTAAATTTGGTTGTCCGTAAACTAATGTCATATAGACATTGCAAGCAGTTTTTAATTCCAGAATAGTATAATCAGCGCTGCGAGCCAAGAAGGCTCATGGCTTGGTTGCACATTTTTTCCCATTCCTTTTTGTCTTCTACTTTTCTCCTCCAGTCCCCTATTCCCATTTCATCCAAGTCCCTTTCCACCGCTTGTAGCCATTTCGTCCGAGGTCTGCCCCTTCTTCTGACCTCCTGTCAGTACTTCTCTCTCCTTCCAGCCTTCCTACGTGTCCCACCCACCTCAATCTTTGTACTCTAGCCACGTTTGTTATTAATGGCTCCCTGTATATTCTCATCAATTCCTCGTTTGTTCTTCTTAGCCATACCTCTACCTTCTTTCTTTCCTCCATAATTAAACGTAATTTGTTTACGTACCTATGTAAAATTGTATTATCTACGTATTGTTTCTTGTGTGTTTTTTTTTTAATTATTTAAGTTTGAATTAGATTGTAAAGACGGACTAACAACACTTACAATGCTATCTATTGAAAAATCAATGGTGCGAGAAATACCAAACTTTAATGAAAAAGTGATTGAAGACATTATTTCGGCATAAGCAGAAGAAGGGACTCTCACTATAGAAAATAATATTGAGCACTGTTTTCTTTTCAATACTTTGTATCTAAATATTTCCGCCCTCCCTGGTATGGAAGTCAAGATCCGCCACTGGTAAAGAGTAATATCTATGATGGCGTACATAATGAGAATAATATACATTTCTGATAATTATATAGTTTTGTCAAAGTAATAATACTACATAGAATATAAATATAGATAATAGATATTATCACACAATTGCTTTTTCACGTTCTTAACAGTATCATTCCCTTATATTTTATGTTTATAAAATACCCCAATGCTGTCTTTTTAACTCATTTGCTCAGTATAATCCTTTGGCAATTATTCAGACCACTCAGTAAGCTGTTATAGATTTTGGCATCTGTAAGTAAAACAAAATATTGTCATAGTGGTCGTATAAACTAGTTGGAGCTGCTAAATCTGAATCTTTTCTAGATTCAAGATTGACTTGAATTTGGAAGGCAGACAATTATACAAGGTGT